CCGGCAAAATGGTCCAAGATTCTGTGCAGAGCTTTCCTTTAGGAGGTGTTTCTTTGCAGAGTTTCTTTGCAGAGTTTTGTGCAGAGTTTTCTCTAGGGGGTGCTTTAGTTTTTCTTTCGGGGATCCGCGGGTCCAAGGTTTTGTGCAGAGTTTTTCTTCAGGGGGTGTTTCTTCACGTGCAGTGTGCAAGACTGGAGGTCCTCTTGCGCTGCTTGGACGTCCCCAGCCGTTCGCCGACTCGCGCGCCTGTCGCCCAGGAAGGGCCGGCGACCCGACTCGTTGGTTGGTTGGTTGGCTGGTCGTCGTCGTCGCCCTTCCCCCTCTCACTGGTTGGTGTGCGCTGGGTTTGGTCTAAGCTGTGCTCCCCTCTGATCTGCCCTCCTTTCCCCTTCCTCCTTCCTCCTGTTCCTCCTCCTGATCTTCCTTCACTTCCTCGTCCCTGCTCCTGCTCGTCAGCACGCTGTCGGCAGCGTGCTGTCGGCAGCAGGTGGCCCCCAGATCGCACCAAGACGGCCCAGAGGATCCCGAGATCGTGCCAAGAGGGCGCCAAGACGGGCTATCCCGTGCAACGCTGTGCACTACTTTGGGCCATCTCATGCAATGCTGGATACTACCGTGTCTTATCTTGGGGGCCCCAAGAGGCTGCCAAGAGGGCCCCACGACGACTCAACAACCTGGGATCCCAGTTGATCCAAGGAGAGCTCCCCCTGTGGTTCCCTGCTGATGGGTCCTGGATCGGTCCGAGCTTCTGGTCTGGACGTCCTGGACACTCGTCCACCCCTCTGTCTTCCGTCCTCCTCCCCCTCCTCCTCATCTACCTTTTTTCCTCCTCCTCCTCCTCCTCCTCTTCACTGCTTTCGTTCCATGGCATGGCTTTGGTAACCTTACTTGGGCCTTGGGCTCTCCTCTCCGACTCTCCTCTCCGACTCTCTCCTCCGACTCTCCTCTCGGACCCTCTTCTCGGACCCTCCTCTCGGACCCTCCTCTCTCCTCTCGGACCCTCCTCTCCGATTCTCCGATTCTCTCTCCGACTCTCCCCTCCGACTCTCCTCTCGGACTCTCCTCTCCGGCTCTGTCTCGGGCTCTCTTTTCTCCGACTCCTCTCGGACCTTCCTCTTGGGCTACCTAATCGTCCCGGACTCCCCCCTCCGGCTCTTCTTTTGGACTCTCCTTGTTGGGCTCTCCTCTCCGGCTCCGACTCTCCTCTCGGGCTCTGCTGTCGGACTCTCCTGGGCCCAGGCCCAGCTCCCTATTGGGCTACGAAGCGTGCGAGGGGTGTGCCGAAATCGGCGTGGGGGACGCATCCGGGTGGTGCCACTGGGGCCTTGGGTGGAGCTCCCCATGGGGCCACGAAGCGCCTGAGGGGTGTGCCGAAATCGACGTTGGAAAGGGATTCGCGCTGAAACCCAAGACCATGAAAGGCCACGAGGCGCGTGAGCGGCGCCCCGAAATGGGCATGCGGCGGGCGCGGGGCCGCATGCGAACGCGGCCACTGGGGGACACTCGGTGGAGTTTCCCCGCGGGGCCACGAAGCGTGTGAGGGGTGTGCCGACATGGGCATGCATGCGAACGCGGCCACGTGGGGCTCTCGGTGGAACCCCGATGTGGGGCCAGGAAACGTGAGACGGGCGCGCCGAAGCGCGCATGCGGTGGGCGTTGGGCCGCATGCGAACGCGGCCGCAGGGGCCTTCGGTGGAGCTCCCAGTGAAGCCACGAAACGTGGATAGGGGGAGGTGATGTCGCCCTGCGTTTCGGCTTGGCGGGCGAAGGGAAATGCCCAGGGCGCCTTGGGCATTGGCCTAGCGTGCGCGGTGAAAGGTCGAGGCGCTTTCGGCGTTTTTTCCAGCGGGCGCTGGGCCAGTCCAGGGCGCCCTGGGCTGTCGCCAAGCGGGCGCGTTGCAAAGCCCAGGGGCTGGGTTTTGGCTTAGCGGGCGTAGAGAAGGTACAGGGCGCCCTGGGATTTGGCTGAGGCGCGGAGAGGGTAATAAGGCTAGGGCGCCATAAACTTTGGCTTGGCAGGCTCGGAGGCAAGTGCCAGCTTATCCCTGGATTTTGGTTAAGCCAGGGTGCCCAGGCGCCCTCGACGTGTCACCGGCTTGCGTTTCCTCCCAATGGCTTGTTTTTTTGTTCGGTGCGCCTTCGCTTTCCTTGGTTAAAGCCCCCCTCCAACACACACACGCACACACACACACGCACACCCTGTTCGTGAGGACTCGTGCTGATCCCATCCGAGTGTCGCCAGTTCGTCCTTGAGACGGGCTGGCGGCGCCTCAGAGGAGCCTAACACACACACACCACACACACACGCACACACACACACACACACACACACGCACTCACACACACACACACACACCCACGCACCCACGCACCCACGCACCCACGCACCCACGCACCCACGCACACACGCACACACGCACACACGCACACACGCACACACGCACGCACACGCACACGCACACGCACACGCACACGCACACGCACACGCACACGCACACGCACACGCACACGCACACGCACACGCACACGCACACGCACACGCACACGCACACGCACACGCACACGCACACGCACACGCACACGCACACGCACACGCACACGCACACGCACACGCACACGCACACGCACACGCACACGCACACGCACACGCACACGCACACGCACACGCACACGCACACGCACACGCACACGCACACGCACACGCACACGCACGCACACGCACACGCACACGCACACGCACACGCACACGCACGCACGCACACGCACGCGCACGCGCACGCGCACGCGCACGCACACGCGCACACGCGCACGCACACGCACACGCACACGCACACGCACACACGCACACACGCACACACGCACACACGCACACACGCACACACGCACACACGCACACACGCACACACGCACATACGCACACGCGCACACGCGCACACACGCACACACGCACACACGCACACACGCACACACGCACACACGCACACACGCACACACGCACACATCCACTCACGCACACATCCACACACCCACACACTCACACACTCACACACTCACACACTCACACACTCACACACTCACACACATTCACACACACGCACGCACAGGCACAGACACAGACACAGACACAGACACTGACACAGACACAGACACACACACGCACACACACGCGCGCGCAGGCTGCCGATGACCACGCGTTGTGAACATAATGCAAATTTAAATGCGCCACAATGACGCAGGTCCAACAACCCCCACTGACCCCACACCTCCCACAACACCACACATTGACGCGTTCAGCGGGGTACGTGCGCCACAAGCGGCACTTTGGGAAAGCATCGCTCACTGACCCCGTAGACCTCGCAAGGCCTTACAGGCCCCGTTGGTTGCGTGAGCGCCATGGAATGGCATTCCCATTGCGCAGGTCGCACGAGTTCCATTGGCACGCAGGTCGCCCAACAAGTCCCATAGTTCCCGCAATTTTCAAACGTCTGACGCGCATCTCACGGGCAGTTTCGTATGGTCGTAACCCCCCAGACATCATGACATACCCCACCCCCGAGGCCGACTTGCCCGAGTGATCCCGACGGCGCCACAGGGCCACGCAAATCTTACACATATCACAAGCCGCACATATTTCTCGAATGCTCGCATGATGTTTCACATTGACACCCGCGAGTCCTTGAACAGATGCTAGCGTCGAAGACGGGCACCTCATAATCTCATGGTCGCCACCCTTGCATGTCTGACCACCATCGTACAACACGCTTTACTTGAATAGTCGGACCCGAAAATCGCCAACCCTCCTCCTGATTACACGCGTGTTGCGCTTGCAAAGGCGCCAGAAAACGCGTGGTCGAAACGGTGCTCCGTAATTCGGCGCTCTAGATGTTCTGCGCTCTGCTCCAGACCTCTTTGTTCAACATGGGATGCCGATCCGGCGTCGCAAGAAATCTTGCGCTCCATGGTCGATCCTGCGCTCCATGGTAAAATGTTGCGCTCCATGTTGGAAAACCGCTCAGCGGCGTCTTGTCGGATCTGCGTTTCATGGTCGATTCTGCGTTCCATGTTGGAGGATCTGCGTTCCACGCCAAACGCGGGATGCTGAAATCCGGCGCTCCAGGTCCTCTGGGGGGGAGCGCCCCGGGCCGCCTCTCAGACCTCGTGCGCCGCGGTCTGCTTTGCAGCGTGGAGCCCTGGAGGTCTTGCCCACTTCCTTGGGGCAGTCTTTGGTTCGGGGGTGGACAGAACCCCCGACAGTGACACGTCGATTCGTGAGTTGTCCTTTTTCGGTTCTCGAGAGGGCGCCGTGGCCCTTATTCTCCAGGCTTGCGCCCGCCAGGTTTGGGCCTCAGGTCGTTTTCACTAAACCACGTTTCACTAGAGGGGGGTCTGCCCATCCCCAATTGATTCATCCAGGTATCTGGGCCACCCTGGAGGTCTTGCCCAATTCCTTGGGCTTGGCATCGCTCGGACGTGTGCATTTTTTTCGGCGAGAACCATCGAGGAGCATCCTTGATCATGTGGCGAAAAAGCCACGCACGAAACCGAAAAAAAACACAGGGAATAGACGTCCGAGCGATGGCCAGTGGGGCAGTCTTTGATTCATCCAGGTATCCGGGCCGCCCTCCGGGGGCGCGAAGATGCCCGCCCTTCGCGCGCCGCGGCGGGGGCCGCCGAGCTGGCCTCCTCCGCCTGGCGGCGCGAGGGCGCGGAGGCCACCGCGCGCCGCGCCCCGCGGGGCGCGCTGTGCTGCTCGCGCGAGCCGGTTGCCGCGCGTGCGGAGGCGCCCTTTGGAGGATGTATTGGGCGCCGCGGCCGCTCCGGAGCGTTCCGGAACGCTCTGAGAGCGCTCCGGAACGCTCTGGAGCGATTTATCCCGATCCTAGCCCTGTTTTAGTGTGGCTCGATCCGCGGTGTCAGTTCCCAGTTTGGCTCGAGCCGCTTCGGATCCAGTGCTCAGTTCCAGCCAGCGCTGCAGCAGCAGCCTCGCGACGCAGGGCCCCATGGCGCTTGCTGGGCTGGTCGGGCTGGCCCTGCTCGTGCGGGGCGTGCCGGCTGCGCAGGATCTGGACGCCCGATGTGGGTACGGAAAGAACGGGTACAGTCGGTGCCCTGAAGAAGGAACCCTTTTCGTTGGGGAGGGGCTCCGCGTTCCTTAAGTGTTTCGCGGCTTTCCTCAGGCTTTCCTTCATGTTTTCGATCGGAAATCGAGGTTGAACTTATGGGAAAAAGGGGCCTCGTTCCTTATTCAGGGTTCCTTAGGTCAACGCCCCGACGGTACAATGCCCAACAGCAGTTTCTGTTCATTTTGAACAGGACTCGCTGTCCACGCCGCCGCGGCCTGTGGCCATTCGAGACAGGAGGCCGCCTCCCCAACAGCGGCCGCTGTCGGTTTGGGACAGCACTTGTTGTTGGGCATTGTACCCATTCTTTCCGTGCCCACTTCGGGCGTTCAAACAGGAGGCCGAGTCCTGCGAGGCCGCGGGCGGGTGCGAAGAGGCAGGGCTCGCGCAGCTCAGGACCTTCTTTGCGACGAAGGGCGGCGACTCTGTCCAGGAGGAGGGCGGCTGCAAGTCCAACGGCGATATGTGCATGTCGGACGACAAGTGCTGCTCGGGGAGTTGCGTCGGCGGCGGCTCTATGATCCCTGGACAGGTTCTGGGTCGCTGCGCCGACGGGGCCAGCCTCGCGCAGACGGATCAGTCGCAGGGTTTCACGACGCAGGGCGGCGACTCTGACCAGGAGGAGGGCGGCTGCAAGTCCAACGGCGATATGTGCATGTCGGACGACAAGTGCTGCTCGGGGAGTTGCGTCGGCGGCGGCTCTATGATCCCTGGGCAGGTTCTGGGTCGCTGCGCCGATGGGGCCAGCCTCGCGCAGACGGATCAGTCGCAGGGTGGCACGACGCAGGGCGGCGACTCTGACCTGGAGGAGGGCGGCTGCAAGTCCAACGGCGATATGTGCATGTCGGACGACAAGTGCTGCTCGGGGAGTTGCGTCGGCGGCGGCTCTATGATCCCTGGGCAGGTTCTGGGTCGCTGCGCCGATGGGGCCAGCCTCGCGCAGACGGATCAGTCGCAGGGTTTCACGACGTAGGGCGGCGACTCTGACCAGGAGGAGGGCGGCTGCAAATCGAGCGGCAAGCTATGCGACAGGGACAGCAAGTGCTGCTCGGGGAGTTGCGGCGGCGGCGGTTTTGGGCGTTTCTCGAAATGCTCCTGAAGACCTTCGCGCCCTGTGCCGAGGTCCGATTCGGCTCACGTCGTCGGAATGAGTGCGCGGCGCGCCCGCTTGATCCAAAGCTGACGGGTGCTGAAATGCACGAGGAACGTTCGCGCTGGATTGCAGAGGTGTGGATTGCTGCGCGTTTTGCCCGCGCGTGCGAACCAACTTCCAGGGTTGGAAACGCAGAATTTGCTTCGGGCTCGCAGTGGTAGGTCGGCCCTAAAGGTGCCACTGGCCACGCCGTTGCAAAAAGCTTCCGAGCACGATGGAAAATGGGAACCTGGCGAGACCCCATGCGGTTGAAAGTTTCCAGAGTAAGAAGTCACCACGGAAGTGTATGCCTTGCGTTGTTTTGCATTGCTTGGCTTGTGCAGTGCTTGGCGGTGCTTTGCGTTGATTTGCTTCGGCATTGCCTTACATGGCTGGGAGTTGCTTGGCGTTGTTTGGCAGTGCCTGGCATTGCGTGTCAAAGCTTGGCATTGTTCGGCATTGCTTCGCATTGCGTTGCTTGGCATTTCTTGGCGTTGCGTCGCATTGCGTTGAGTTGCCTTGCGTGGCATTGCGTTGCTGGGCATTTGTTCTGGCATTGCACTGCGTGTCTTGGCATTTTTTTTACGTTACGTTGCTTTGCCTGGCGTTGCTGTGTTTTGTTTGGCTTTGAATTGCCTTGCTTGGCAACTGGGCAACGGCCACTTCGAGTTCGGCCAGCAATGACATTTTTTGTTGTTTAAAAACTCGGGGCCGATGACGGCCGTCATCTGGGAGGTGGGGGGGGGGCGATGCCGTCACGTTTCGTGCCATCGGCGTCTTAGTATAATGTTTAGGATTGACCGAGGGCGGGTATCAGCAGCATGTAGGTGGCGATTTGCAACGCATCGCCTGTGTATACCACGGTGCCCGCGTGCACCACAGCGCCTGTGTAAACCATGACGCCTACGTACACCACAGCCGCCGAGCGCAACGCGGCGCCAGTGTGTGCCACCGTGCCCGCGTGCACCGCAGCGCTTATGTACACCACAGCGCCTGCGTACACCACATCAGCCGTGTGCAACACAGTTCCACAGTACACCACAGTGCTCGCGTGCACTATAGCCCCTGCGTGCACCACGGTGCTTGTGTGCACCACAGCAACCGCGTGCAACAAAGCATCCGCGTGGTGTATGTGTATATATCCGTAGAAGGTGAAGGAGCCCTTTTTATGACAAACTGGAGCATTTCTTGTCCATCGGATTTGGAAAAAAATGAGTTCTCATGGAAAAAGGAGCGCCAGTAGAATCTACGTAACCTCCTGAATCCTCCCGCATCATCCCAACTCCTCCCACTTGCGTCCACTAGGTTCCTGCAGAATTGGCCGTCCGAGAACCAACTGGACCGATTCAGTCGACCATTCTGCGGTGCACGCTGAGACGCGCACGTGCGTTGTAGCGCCGACCCGCGCGACGGAGGGAATGGTGAGGCAGGGGGAGGGGGAGGACGCGGAGGAGGAGAAGGGGGAGGAGGAGGAGGAGGAAAAAAGAGGAGGGACGAGTCTTGCATTCTATTATCAGCACCCCTTCTGGCGTTGTGCTTAGCTGTCCGCATCAGATCCTCACGTACATGCTCCTTCTAACTTTCCGGTGCACGCAAGCGCTGAGGCGTACATAGCGCAGCGTTGCACACAGGAGCCGTGGTGTGCACAGGCGCTGCGGTGCACGCAAGCACTGTGGTGTACACAGGCACTGTGTTGCAAATGGTTGTTGCGGTGTACACGTTAGTTGTTGTGTACATAGGCGCTGCGGTGCACGCAGGCACTCTGGTGCACACAGGCGCTACGTTGCACACGGCTGTTGCGGTGTACGCAGGCGCTTTGGTGTACACGCGCACGGTGGTGCACGCGAGTATTTGTTGTGTGCACAGGCGCTGTGTTACAGATCGCCGCCAACATGTTGCTCCTACTTGGCCTCGGTCATCCCTGGACATTCTCCGACGCCGCCAGCGCGGAACGTGACGTCACCTGGGGGGGGGAGGGCGGGGGGGCGGGGCCGATGACGGCCGCCATCTCGGGAAATTAAAAAGTTGATCCTATTAGGCATGTGGGCAAGTGGGGAATTCGAACGAGGTTGGGCAGCCCAAGGGCGGCCAGGCATCTGGGTGACGGGGCAACCCGAGGAACCCCGAACAACCCCAGGCAACTCGGGGATCGCAAGCCGACCAAACCGCACACTCATTGGTTGTTTAAAAATATACGGGGAGTTTTAGGCGACACCAAATTGTGGAACATGTGTGGAGTGTTTATGATCCCTCCTTATCCTCCACCTCCTCCTCCTCCTCCTCCTCCTCCTCCTCCTCCTCCTCCTCTTCCCCTTCCTCATTACCTCGGGTTCGCAAGGCGCAACCATTCCAAGTAAAACCGCATGCTTGCACCAGGACCCCATGAGTTGTGGTTCGCTCGTTGTCCCTCCCTCCTCCCTGGGAGCGAGCCCCCCACCTATCCTCTCCTTCGCTGTGCCCGCTGCCCCTTTCGGCTTGCAGGCGTTGGCAAGTACGCGTTGGATTTTAGGATAGTGGAGACGGGTAAAACCGTCATCATACAGGCGGGGCGCTGAAGAGGGAACCCTCTTCGTTGGGGAGGGGTTGCGTGTTCCTCATTTGGTTCGCAGTTTGCCTTAGGTTGTCCTTAGGTTTTCGATTGGGAATCGAAGTTTAACTTGTGGGCAAAAAGGGCCTCGTTCCTTATTCAGGGTTCATTAGGTCAACGTCCCGACTGTAGTCCTTCGCTCACCTCTGCCGCCGTTGCCGACTGATGCTCGGGAATGGCTCGGCCTCTCCGTCGCACCTTCCCCCGCGCGTGCCGGCCCTCCCGCGGCGGGGCGCCAGTTCTGCACGGGTGGCGACCGGCCCGCCTCGCGCGGGCGCGCTGCCTTCGGCGGCGGATGCTGGTGACCCCCCTGCCTCGCCAGCTTTCGCGCGCAGCCTGGAGGATATGATGGGTTCTCGCAGGGCCCCAGACGCTTTCGACGTGTCTGAGGATTTGGAAGGTCTGACCTACCCACGATGCTCTTGGCGGTCCGAGGCTACGCGCCACGCCCGCAGTAGGAACAGTTGACCATGGAACCTTCGCCCCTTCCGCTCAGCGCCTCGGGGGGCGCCCGTTGCGGGCGGCAGCTTCCGCGGACACTGTCGCCCATAGGATGCTCACCGCTTGCAAGGGGAAACCCCTGCAAGCGCCGGCGCCCGTGAGCCTGGCAACGCTCGCGGCGCTCATAGCCGAGGAGTCCTCGGCCTCGCCGCTCAAAGCTTGCGGGGGGGGGTCTCCTGCAAGCGTCCTACCCTTGGCTGGCAGTGCGCCTGTCGATCTCCCTGTCCCCCCAGGTTTCCGGGTACGTTCGGTTCCCGTAAGTGGGCGCGCAACGTCTCCGCCCACGAGCGCGTGGGTCGCTTGCTTCGCGTGGTTCAGCGGGTTCGCATAACCGGGTCTCGACGCATGGATTCTGAGCGTGGCCTAGCCCGTGCTCGCGGTGCCTCCTTCTCTCGAAGTCGCCCCGCCAGCGCCGATGCCCCTGCCGCGGGTTCCGACATCCATCGTTGCGACATGGCCGCGCACGGCGATCATTGCCGCAACATCTCCCGGAGAGGCCGCGCGACGGGCGCTCTGACGCCCTTGCCAGTGGTGCCACGACGCCACTTCGCCGAGTTGCGAGATCAGTTAGAAACATTTGTTGCGCAACATGTCTCCGCCGTGTAAACAACCATCGCCGCCGCCGCTTCCGACGCGGCAGTTCTGCGATCAGATCTTTTCAACAGGGTGCCAGGAGATCGGCGAAACTGTGCCATTCGACCGCCGGGACGTTGTCCAGGTGGCACGGATCCAGGCCACGAGTCCAAGATTCTGCTCGGCCAGGATCTCGGCGACGCTGCCTCCTCCGAGTCCGACCGCCCGCGCGTCGAGGCGAGTCTTCTCGCAGTCAGAGGGTGCAACGACTCCGAGTTGGATTCTTCCGCGACGCGGCACAGGTTGTCGCGTTGGCCACAGTTGGCGCGGCACCTGGGGCCATCCGCGGACACCAACGAGAGCTTCGAGAGATGGTTGCATCCCACGCAGTTGTCTTGCGCTCCGAGGCCCGTGACGTCCGACGGGCTCGTTGCGGCGAGCTTTGCCAAATCGAGAAATTCCCAATCATTGTTTCGACGACTCCCGCGTCGTAGCCATCCCTGAGTTATCCGCCCGAGTCTTTCTTCGTTTTCGAACAAGCCGTGACGCAGCTGCATGTTGCGAGGGCCTAGACTGGCCAGACGACGCCGCAGCAGGTCCACGACGCTGGCGCCAACGCCAGCCGCCGCTCACGCCGGCGCCAACGCCAGCGCTTGCGCCTGCGCTTGCGCCAGCGGCTTTTCCAGCACCGACGCCAGCTCCGACGCCAGCTCCAATGTCGGCGCCTGCGCGAGCGCCGGCGCCAGCACTGGCGCTGCCATCGACGCCTGCGCGCCAGCGCCTGCGTCAGCGCCGCGCCAGCGCCGACGCCAGCGCCAACGCCTGCGCCTGCGCTGGCACCGACGTCGGCGCCTGCGCCAGCGCCGGTGCCAGCGCAACGCCAGCTCAAGCGCCAGCGCCTGCGCCAGCGACGACGCCCACAGCGACGCTAGCATCGCGCGCCAGCACCAACGCCAGCGCCCACGTCAGCGCCGT